GGTTCGCAAATCTTTTGATTCAGATCGGAACTTCGGAGCGAGTTTGCAAATCTTTTGGTTCAGTTCGAAACTTCGGAATTGGTTCGCAAATCTTTTGATTCAGATCGGAACTTCGGAGCGGGTTTGCAAATATTTTGATTCAGATCGGAACTTCGGAGCGAGTTTGCAAATCTTTTGGTTCAGTTCGAAACTTCGGAATTGATTCTCAAATCTTTTGATTCAGATCGGAACTTATGACATGTAAGACAAAAATAATGTTTTCGGACATGAAAGCATATGTTATCCTAAGTTTTGGTGTAAATTACTCACTAAACGTTAAACTGCTAATAACGTAAGCCACAGGGAGACTGTAGACGGCTGTGATTCATTGTGTTGCATTAATAGAAAGCCAAATAATATAAAGATTTATAATGCAAAGTATTTTTCCAAAACTAAGTTTTATTAGTATTTTCATGCCGGGACGGTGAGGGGCACATATGTGAGTTAGCCACGCGCACTTACTAGACCGTCTCATTCTAACATTTAATGCCGAGGAGGACTCTAGCTCACAAGAATCACGAATCATTTGATCTAGATCGGAACTTCGGAGCGGGTTCACAAATCATTTTGCGAACTGAACAATTCCCTTAGTAGGGAATCAGACCGCAAATCTTTCTTTTAAAAAAAAATATTAAACAGTACACAACATCAAACCATTAAGACAGTACAGTTATGAAAAACAAAACAAAGAAAAAAGAGAAAGTATACACAAATACAAATCCCTTCAGAAAATTGACCATGCTTTTATTAAAGTAAAAGTGTAGTAACCATGTTTTTTTTAGTAAAACCACACCATGGTTAAACTATGGTTTTCACTGCTTTAGGATTAACAGAACTTTGAATAGTTTCCATGTACTTTTCTAGATCAACTTTGAATAAAGAGATTTAGATCCAGATTTTTGTTTATGTACTGTATGTGAAATTTAGCTAGCATTGCCAAACAAGTGCATGAATCATGAATCTTGCATGAATCATTGCCAAACAAGTGCATGAATCTTCCTCAGACGAGACAAAAACAGCAATTCACTTCAGTGTCTGATTTATATCATAATCCATAAGCTTTTTGTGAAATTTGGAGAAACTCATTAATCTGTTGTTTGAGCTCTTCATATTTAAGGGGATAACTATAGTTTTCAAAGTCGGACATTGCTTGTTATGATTTTTTTGGTGTAGAATTTGGTAGAGATGCTGTGACATGTCCCAACCAATATCCAGCCACTACTAAATTATCCCTAGCAATAATTTTGCTCAAACAATGAAATGTCTGTTGTCTGCCGTTATGTCCCCACATATATTTGCTTGCACTTCTGCATTCATTTCAGTACAGTTTTGGTTCGCCTATGGATGTCCAAAGTAAAATCGAGCCGTGAAGCAAACCCAGATGAGACTCAGTGTGATTCAAACACAAATCCTCTGCAAATACTATTCCATCTTCTTTTATTCCAATCAGACTTTGAAGAGACTAAGCTTGTGTCCTTCAGCCGTCTGCTGCGCTGGAGTTACAGCTGCTGATTTATATCATCTGGAGGGGGATCTCAGCGCTTTGAAAGTTCATGCAAAGCGTCAGACCTTCAGCCACACACACCTTCAGGTCCATCCAACCGTTCCTCCGGCCTTGAGAAGCTCCATCAGTTCACATTCAGCATCACAGACCGATGAAATCACTCCAGACTCGATCCACTGAAGGACAGCATACTCCTCTTACATCAGAGAATAATGGTACTTAAGACATTTAACTTCAATTAATGTAAAAATACAAATATGTTGCATGACATTCACTGTTGAAATACTACAGTAAAAACCTGTTGGTTAACAGTAGGCTTTCCTAAAATATATAATGAAAAGCTGTAATAGATCTAATTGGGCATTTCATGTAATTTTACAGCAAAATACTGCTAAAATGTAGTTTGTTATACTGTTAAATAAAAGTATTTAAATTGAAATAGAATAAAATATAATCAGATTTTTTTATTTTTGCAATTTATACCAGTGCGGTTATTGTTAACTAAAACTATTAAAAATATTTTTGTTAATTGAAATAAAGCTGAAATGAAATAATATATATTAGACTTAAACTTGAAATAAATTAGACATAAAATTTATTTCAGCTAGTTGACAAGGCAACATTTTTAATTTTCATTCAGTTTAACTTCGTGTACTAAAATAACTAAAACTGTAATAACATTATTAAAATATAAAGTAGGAATAAAATAAAATATAAATATTGGATAAAAAAACAGACATGGTAATAAAATATAAAAAACAACAAAAAACTTTATTTCATCGAGTTGCTAAAGAAACATCTAATTTTCATTCAGTTTAACTTGATGTACTTAACTAAAACTATAATAAAATTAAAAATTTAGCTTAAAATAAAAAAGTTAACTGAAATGAAAAAATGTATTAAATAAAAAAAAGCGATTATCAGTGAATAAAATCTTAAATTTGATCTGTTCCTCACACGAAGCTATCAGAGGCATGCGCTATTCTGCCAAGTTGGAACAAAATCAGAACTATTCTTGGTGAATTATTCCTTTAAATGGCCTAAAATAGGCTGATTTAATATTAAACAAAAACACCTAATTAACAGCAGTCACAAACTAAACCAGAGTGAGCCAGAGCACCGCAATTGTGTCAACAAAAATAGCACTTTCTGCAATGCCATGAGAGCTTATCTGGATCTCTTCAGTCAGCAGATGATGTCCAGTGTTTTTCCCTCCGTGCATGTAAACACAGGCTGATTTCCAGTAAGGATGTGGTCAGAGATGTCAGTGCAGGAGTGGACAGCTGTTACTCAGAGCTCATCTGGCCACATCACAGACCTGAAGAAGCTGAGCGAGTGACAAAATCAATCCTGAACTGCAGAAGTAGAGGATACATTTCTGGAGAAATGAAGTGTAGCGTTTGTCCGTTCATAACTCGTTTCTTCTCGTCCCGTGATCTTCTGGTCTACAGATGTGGCTCAGATTTCAATGCATGTCTGTGCATGGGACTTTTAGTTTTCACCTCTTTTGTGGTCCAGCAGGTGAAAATGGTGCGTCTGATCACTTTCTCCAGTGTTTTTACAGTTAAGCTAAAACCATAAAAAAACTTGTTGATTGAAATAAAATGAATGTTAAATGAAATAACAAAAACATTAAAAAAAAACCTAAATGAAAATTAGAAATGTTGCCTCAGCAACTAGCTGAAATAAAACTAGACGTACTAAAATAACTAAAACTGAAATAAAAACGAATAAAAACTACATAAACATAAAAAAAAATTGTAAATGTCAAAAACACAAAATTACTAAAATTTTAAAATTGAAAAAGAAACATATAAAAAAATTGTGCATTGGATCACTTTCTTTATTATAGTTAACTGAAACTTAAACTAGAATCATTAAAAAAGCCACAACTGAAATAAAATTATAAATATTAAATAATTAAAAAAACTGTATACAAAAATATGTATTTAACAAATAAAAACTAATTTTATATCAGCTATAGTTGTCAATGCAATATTTCTAATTTTCATTTAGTGTAACTTGATGTACTAAAATGACAAACTGAAATAAAAACGAATTAAAAAAACTGCATAGACATACTTTAACTTAAAAAAATAATTAATTACTAAAATACTACTACTCGTGACTCGCTTTTTGCGGTTTATTTTCTTTATTATTTGTTATTTATATGTTACTTTGTAATTATTTGTGTTTTTAATTTATTATTTTTCTCAAATGAGCTTAAGCAACAGAATTTGTGAACATTGTGAACAATCCACTTAAATGTGTAAAATTGACGGTAATAATTTCGTGTTGGGACTACATCCTCCCTATATGATCATGAACATAATGCCATTTTTACTTATTATCTGACAGAGAAGCGTTCAACAAAACAATTAAGATAGTTGTATTGTAATTGCACAGAGACGATTTACTTAATTTAACTAAACTGCTTTTTGAGCATACGATTTGATGAATCATTCACGTTTTTAATAACATTTCTAATATCATTCTGAGCAATAATAGTAAACACTACTACTATGAAAATGCCAAAGAAAAGTCTATATAATGCTGCCTTCTGCTGTAAATATATATTATCTGGTGCATCCACATCAGCACGAAGACGATTACTCAAACTGAATGTAGAAACGTTCACATTTTTAACATAACATTTTAGTTTTCTATCCTGTTTGCCCTTCAAGCATGTTTAATGCAGTCTGCTTTACAGAATTATTAGTTACATAAATCAGCATCGGCTACTGTAGCACATTATTGCAGTTAAAGATTAGGAATGAAAGGCATTCAGAACATGTTGAAGTTCTTCTCTTCAGCAGCGAGGTTGAAGGGCAGAGAGTTGAGCTCTTACTGAATCAAGGGAAATGCCATTCCCAGAATGCACCAGAAAATGAAGATTTATGCCGGCCCTAAAGCAGCACCGTTCAAAAAACAAAAAACAACAAAAAAAAGGATATGAAATTTGACCAAAGAGCTAAGTTTTATAAAGGTTTTAATCAAGGTTTAATGGGCTAGATCTCATTTCCACGTTGTAAAGCTGATTGAGTTCTTAGAGAATTTGTGAATACATGTGTGCGTTTATTTAGATTTAATAAACTTTCAGCTTTAGTTATGAATTCATCACAATCACTCCAACAGAACGAAACAGAAATGGGTCATTCGTGTCAAACAGGAAGCCAATCTTATATCAAACTTATAGAATTATGTATTAAAAAGCCCCAAAAGTGAGGATGTTTTTGACAGAAGATGAACTAAACTCCCAAAATGCAACCGAAGCTCCCAGAACCAAGGAAGAAAACTAGCCTGATGCATACAGGGGAACGTCCAAGAAATAATTCAGCTTAATATAAAAATTGTGTTATTATTAACTCACCCTCATATCATTCCAAACCTGCATGGATGTTTAAAAAGATATTACAGCTTGGAATATAATGCACAAGTCATATGGATGCTTTAAGGGTTTTTTTTGGACTATAAACATGCACGTAAAAAAAGAGCTGCATGAACATTCTTCAAACAATCTTCTTTTGTGTTCATCAGAAAAAAATGGTAGCATGTAGGTTTTAAAAGAATAATCCATCCGAAGATGAAATTCACCTCTGATGTTTCCAAACCTGTATGAAGACAAAAGAAGGCAAAAGGGAGCCGAAAGTATTTGGTGATCACGGTATCTTCTTTTGTGTTCAGGGTTTGCAAACAGGCTGGGAATGGCATGATTGCAGAATTGTAATTTTTGGGTGAACGGTCCCTTTAAATGAGACGAGAGTGACTGAATAATAACAGAATTCACATCTCTCAGCGAAATATTCCTTTAAAAATAATAATAAATATGTTATGCACATCATTTCCCTCACCTGTACAGTTATTTGCTCTCATATCAATCTAGTTCTGCTCTTTTATCCTTGAGAAATCTGCCTCAAACACACAGCGCCCCCTATAGCGGACCATGTGTTTGTGACTGAGCTCACACCTTCAGCACAGATGCAGTTTCATTTCAATCTGTACAAACTGATTTCGTATCAATGCTAAACAGCAGAACCGGATCCAGCACCTGCAGCGGAGCGTCTTTCGTGTGTTCAGTGTCTGTCTTTAGATATAAAGACGTGTTTAAGGTTTGGGAATAATCTCCGACTCTTTTCCCGACGCTGACGTGGTCCGAGTGTGGAAGAACTTCACTGTTCACTGAGTCCAGAGCTATTTCACAGACAGCAGCAGATTTATCTAGATGGCGGGAGACAAAGAAAGATTAAATTTCCATCAAACAAATGTACTTATTTGATCTCTGATTATAAAATGGATATTTACAGCCCTCCCAGCTAACAGGAAACATTCTCTGAAAGATTCTCTCAAAAGTATGCACGTATTTTCTTCAGTAACGCTAACAGAACACTCGTTTAGAGTTATCTTGTCTTTCATAACGTTCTCTAAACAATAACATTACTTATACATAATTTTTCTCTAAAGGTTTTGAAAATTTTCCCAGTAACATTAGTAGCATGTTCGTTCAAAGTCTTTAAAGGTCACATATTTTACACCTTTCTGGAGTTTTATTTTAAGTCTTGATGTCCTTAAGAATATATATTTGCGGTATAAGTACCAAAAACCTTTCTCAGGAGCTCTGCTGAGAACAGGTCGATTTGGGCCTGTCTAATTAATATTCACGAGCCTCTCTTCTGATTGGCCTGTTGTTTTCTGAGTGACGCTGGAACAATAATGTAGCTGTACAAATAGTTGCCTGCTGAAATTGAAATATATACAGGTACGGAAAGTATTCAGACCCCCTTACATTTTTCACTCATTGTTATATTGCAGCCATTTGCTAAAATCATTTAAGTTAATTTTTTTTCCTCATTAATGTACACACAGCACCCCATATTGACAGAAAAACACAGAATTGTTGACGAAATGATAAAACGGAACGTTCCCTTACCGTTTTCTCTCATGTTCACACAACCAAAAAATTGAATGTTTTGAATGTTATTTAGAAGTAACATTTTCATAACTTGATGGGAATGTTGGAAAAACATTCTGGGAACATATTTGTGTTAGCGGGGCGTGATAAGCACCTGTTCCATGGAGGGACATGCGATGATCTGCAGGTCTTCGCCGCTGTACTCCTCCTGCAGTAACGCATGCAGTCTCTGGAACACCTGCTGGACGTTGTTCTGAAACGGCATAAGATTGACTGGATATCATTTTCCTGCTGGGTGAGCATTGCATTATGGGCAATTGACTCTTTGCTTAGCTCCGCCTTAAAAAGTTAATGACTGATCCTACCTTAGCAACCGTTGCTATTTACCATTCTATAAGACAAACGTTTTGCGCTTTCTCCAAACATCCCATCATTGTGTTTGGAAGCTTTTAAACTGGATTTTCAGGCTGAAAACAGTGTTGCTATTGTTACCTAAGACCAAAACTAAAAATAAATGTTAACGGAAATAAAATAGAATACAGAGAAAAAAACGAATTAAACGAAAACGAGAAGTTTTGCCGTCACAACTAACTCAAATAAAATAAGTACTAAAATCTTAAAAAAAGAACTAAAACACCCAACAAAACTACTAAAATGAACTCAAGTTATTAATTCAAATATTAAGAAATACTAATATCATCATTACATTCAAATAACAAATTAATAAGTACGACTTTTCTTTTTAATAAATACTAAGATAGTACTGTAATGATACTGAAACTCTACAGTGTATTTCTATGGGATGTTCTGTACAGCTTGACTGTGTCAGTAACCAAAGGGAGCAAAGTTTAGCAAAAGGTCAGTATAAACACAGACTTGATTACATAATTAGTATTTTATGATTAGGTTTAAGAAACGTAGACTTATAAACAATACTAAGAAAAGGCATGATACTCACCCTGACGGGCTTGAACAGGATGAACTCTGTGTCCTTATTGGCCAGATATAAAGACAAGCTCTGTAAGGTGATGGGCAGCTTGGTTTTCAGTACGCGATAGGTGGCCATCACAATGTCATTAATTTTGGCTAAAAGTACAGAAAACACATTCTCATTAACAAGTGCAAAAACCTCAAAACAGCACACCCAGTCATACGTCTCTGTTTGTGAAAATAATTTCTGCCTCGTTATGGTGTGATTGCATGAATACTACAAAGTCTGTCAAAAATATGTACTGGTAATATTTCACCCCAAAATAAAAAAAATAAAAAATAAAAAATTACATAATGAAAATTAAGCATGCTGTATTTTCAGGACTAACAAGATTTTCTAAGCAGATTTTCACACTAAATTATCATTAGTGTAAAGCAGAAAATGTAAAAAAAATAATTTTTATATTGGTATACATATACATTTTATATATATATATATATATATATATATATATAGATACACCATTTGTATTACTGTATTTCAAAAAAGGGGAAAACCCCTAAAAGCCTAAAAGATTTATATATATATTAGGGCTGCACGATTAATCGCATGCGATATTTAACGCGCATCTTGTCAGAAAGCCGGTTCTGTAATCAGCGGTAAATCTCCATCACCTGCG